CGCATTAATCTCGGGTGATCTCGGGTAATCTCGGGTACAGGTCGTCCTCGTCAAGCAGAAGGTGGAGGGGCGCAAGACCTTCGAGGAGCACCTCCCTGAGGAGACCCTCTCCCTCGTCGGCATCGACAGCTGGGAAAAGGAGCCCCCCCCCCTCCCCCCCCCACCCGCCCCGCCCCCCCCGCCGCCGCCGCGCACTACCACTCACACCAAGCCACACGGACACAAGGAGAGCCCGCGCACTACCACTCACACCAAGCCACACGGACACAAGGAGAGCCCGCGCACTACCACTCACACCAAGCCACACAGTAGTAAAGTGAAATACAAGCAGGGAAGAGAAAAGAGGTATCTCTTCTCGATGAGAGCACCCACTCTCCCCCTTGGGTGGGTTCGCATACCTGGGGGGGGGCGGGCTGTCCCCTTCTTCACACCAACAGTGCGGCGCTTGGGTTTCGCGGCAGGGCAGGTAGGGGACGGCAGCGCAGGGGGCATAGCAGCAGTGTGCGGCGCGACACAGGGCAAGGGGAGGCCACACTCGCAGGGGGCGTCACACGTCTAGACACACATCTAGACACACCTGCCTGTGTACAGATCACAGATCACACCTGCCTGTGGCACTTTTGCGCGCACACACTCCGGGCCGGCGCTTTGACAGAGGGAGCCACGGGGGCGCTTTGTGACAGAGAGGGAGCCACGGGGGCGAGGGTGGAGCGCGGCGCAAGACAGCACAGCCCCTCTCGCGCATGCCTAAAAGAGGACACTCCCCTGCTCGCTCGCCACAGCCCCCCCCCCCCCCCCCCCGCACTAGGTGCCGTGGGGGTCCGACCCAGACCGCGACGGCGCGCCGGCGTGCGACGCCGACGCCGGGGCTGTGGCGGCGGCGGGGCCAGCCTGAGCCTACTAACATATACAGTCGGGCGCGCGTTGTGTCGCGGGGAGAGTGGCGCGGGCCGTGGATTGGCGGCCAGCTGGATCAGCTACCGCACCGCGCGGCGTCCCCATCGCATCACGACGAGGATATACGGCTTTATGCGTGCGGAGAGTCGCAATGGACTCGGTCCCGGTCAGACGTGAGTGTCGTGAGGGAGGGGAGGCGGGGGACACGGGAAGTCTGGGCAACGTAAACGTAGAAATAAGGAAAGTGCCCCCAGAGAGGCCAGAGACTGTGAGCTCAGAGTCCAGAAAATCTCGCGATCCGAAAACCGCGCGCGCGCACAAACACACGTCACAGTTTGTACAGTGTACTACTGGAGTACACACACATATGCACATCCCACATCATGCACATGCTAGCGCATCTCTGCCAGTGGCGCCGATGGCGACGGCGCGAGGCGATTCTTTCGCAGTCTTGATGTAGAGCGCTCCAAGATAGTGTCCCTCCCAGCGCGACGGGTCTCTGTCCGAGGAGACACTGTACCATACACTCGTCAAGGCGCACCGCGGCGAGAAGGTGGAGGGCGAGAACGTCGACGTTCTCAACGCGGTAGTACGATTCGACCCGTTTACGAATGCTTGGGAGGGAGGTTGCACCGATGGCGACGGCACCGACCGCGCTATGTGCTGCCTTGCTGTAGCTCTAGCCCCTGGCCGCGGACGATTGATGCGGGCGCAAGCCTGGGTCTGCAGGGCTCGTGCCAGTGCACGCCAGTCCCGTGCCCAGTGTCGTGAGAGGGTCACTTGCTTGGTTGGAGCACTTGGAGTGCGGTCGGTAACCTCACATCCAGGGCCGGGTTTGTCGTAAAATTCAGGCGTCTTCTTCGCTGTTTATTCACAGCACGCCCCTAGGAAACCTAGAGCCCACGGTTCCCTGGGGTCGCCTCGTGAATAAACGAGTACAAAGAGCGGTGCGTAAAATTCTCACGCGAGATCCTCCAATCCCAAGTTTACCGCGTGCAGGAATGAAGGCCTCCGACAGCGGCGCCGCCCCGCTGCCCCTCCTGCTCGCCCTCGCCAAGGGCCTCCCGTCTGCTGCATTCCTCACCCTCTACCACAACATCGATGCGGCGTCCTTTGGACTCCTCATCGTGCCGGCGGCGGCCGACCTTCCTATCAGCTCTGGCATCCCAATCTATCTGCTCTCTGTCGTTGCGGGACAGGTCGGCTTCCTGCTTGCATCGCGCTTCTCGTCCGCATGTGGCGGAGCAACCATCGAGCTGGTGCCACTGCTGGCGCCGCTCGCGTCGTGCGTCGGCATCGACCAATCCGGCCTGTCGTCACGCACGGCTCGCGCGTCGACCCTGCTCGCCCTGCTCTCGTGCACCTCCCTCCTGATCGCGATTGCGTACTTTGTGATTGCGCGCTTCAAGCTGGGCCGCCTGCTGCGCTGCATCCCCCTCATTGTCCTCAAGGCGGCGCTCACCGGGGTCGGCGTGTACATGGTGGTAGAGGCGATCAAGATGGGGGTGGCATGGAAAGAGGAAGGAGGCATGAGCGAAGGTGAGACCACCGTCTTCCTGACCGAGACGGCACGCGCTGGGAGCCAGCTCTTTGGCCCCCCCGCGCGCCCCCTCCTCCTCGCCACGCTCCTCACGCTAGCCGGCTACATCATCGTCAAGAAGCTCGGCTTCTCGCAGTCGCAGTCGCTCGGCTACCTCGCCGCGGTCGCCATCGCCATAAACGCCCTCACCCTCGGCGGCGTCTGCTGCAGCGCGGCCCCAGGCGTCCGTGATCCCGGATGGTACTTTGGAGGGGACGAAGAGGGCGAGGCGCAGGCGTCAGCGCTCGGGCTTCTCGCAGAGTTTCGCCCGTCCGAGGTCTCGCTCCCGGTGCTTGCGACGGCGCTCCCGTACATGCTCTCCTGCGTCGCGATGCACGCCATCGTGGCTGTCACAGACATGGTCTCGCTCGAGGCCATCGCCTCTTCTTCCGGCGACGGGCCCGCTGTCACGCTCGACCTGAATCACGAGATCGGTGCCACCGCAGTCGCCAACCTGCTCGCGGCGGCCGTGGGGGCCATGCCCAACTACCTTCAGCTGACGCCTTCGCTAATCTGCTTCCGCCTGGCCGGGTCGTCCGGAAGCCGCGCTGGCCCTCTCATCGCCGTCTTCACCGCCGCCTCGCTGTGGGCCGTCTCGCCTATCGTGTCTGTCCTGCCGCGGTGCGTGGTCGCCGCGTTCATGCTCGAGATGGGTATCGACTTCGTCCTCGAGACGGGAATCCGCACCTTCACCGTGACGACCGACCCCGTCGACCAGGTGCTGATTATCATCGTCCCGACGGTGATGCTCCTCGGTGGCTTCTTGCCCGGTATCCGCATCGGCCTGCTCGTGGCGCTGGCCAACTTTGTCGTCAAGTATTCGGCCGCACCGATTGTCCGCTTCCAGCAGACGGGTGGCGTGCTTCGCTCCAACACCGTACGGCCCCGCGAGCACCAGCTCGTGCTCGACGAGCGCGCGAGTCACTCCATCTCCATAATCTCTTTGCAGGGCTTCGTCATGTTTGGGTCGGCGCCGCAGCTTTCCGACGCACTCGACAACTGCCTCGCGAGGCGCGCGCGCTGTCCCGCGCAGCACCTGCACACCCCGCCATGGTTCGTCATCGTCGATGCGCGGGCAGTCAAGGGGTGCGACTTCGGGGCGCTCCAGGACCTGGAGAAGATGCGAAAGGCCGTCGTCGCAGAGGGCGGCATCTTCCGCGTCGCCCAGCCGCCACCGCCCGTCGCCCACGCGATCGAGCGAGCGCTGGAGGGCAGCATGGGTGAGCTCGCATCCTTCAACGCAACCCTTCATATGGCCGAGGACGCCGTCATCGCCGCGCACGCAGCTCCAATGACGCAGGCCCACCGCGAGTCGCTTGGAGCGACCGCTGCGCGAGCCTTTCTCAGGTCGACAAATCCGGAGGCCAGGAAGCGCGATGTGGAGGCGAACTCGACGCCGCCGACTGCAGGCGGGCCAGGCCTTGACACCACGCGGGTGGGCAATCACGAGGCGGTCCTGAATGTGCTGACGAGCCACACGCCACAGGTGGAGTCGACGCACGTGGCCCACGCGGAGGCGCTGCTTTCGCTCGGCAAGACGCGTGCTGTGGCCGCGGGGGAGCAGCTATGGGGCGTGACGGACCAGCCGAGCTTCTGGGTGGTCGTCCTCGAGGGGCAGCTCGAGACGCGGCGGCACGGGTACACGATCGAAGAGCTGGTCGCCGGCTCGGCGTGCGGCTTCCTCTTCTTACTCGTGAAGGGCAGGCAACGCGAGACGGACCTGGTCGCGGTGCAAGCCTCGCGCGCGCTCCTCGTGACGGCGGAGGCCATGGGAACGATCGAAAGTGCGCACCCAGCGCTCTACAAGACCCTCGTCGACGCGTTCGTCGCAAAGGCAGCCGCAGAGTACCGTCACTGGATTCGACACACGTCGGTGCTCGAGGCTCGCACGGCGGATGCGGACGTGTCGCAAGCTGCGAACGTGGAGGTCGACCGTAGATGCAGCTACTGACTTGTACGGAAGGGTTGCAAGCGTAATTTTTTCTTTTGAGCTAGACTTCGTTGTTAAGCGAAGGCACACACAAGATGCCGGTTTTTTCTTTTTCTCGCGCCTTCCTGATATGGCCTCCCACCGCATCGGCGCGCGCGTCGCAGGCCTATCGCCAGCGCAGCTGTGCGCCATCATCGAGGCGCAGGCGGGCGCGAGCGCCGCCGCGCTGCGCGTGGCGGAGGAGCACGCCGCTCGGCTCGTGGAGCAGCCCGAGTGGGTGCTCTCCGAGGTCCTCCTCTCGCCGGACCTCGCCCCGCACATCCTCGCCCAGCTGCCGCCCACGGAGCACGCCGTCAAGGGGACGTGCCGCGCGTGGCGCCGGGGCTGGAAGGAGACGCTGAAGAAGCGCGAGAGGCCGCGCATGCTCGTGATCGGCGGCCAAGACAGCGATGGACGCGTCATCAACTCGCTGGAGCGGTACGACCCGTCAACAAATGAGTGGGAGGAGGAGGCTGTGGCGCCGATGCCGACGGCACGAAACTATGTCCGCATGGCGATGCTCGACGGCAAGCTCTACGCGGCGGGCGGCAGGAATGAGGCTGACCTCGCAATTTCCAGCGTGGTGGAGCGGTACGACTTGGCTACGAACGCGTGGGAGGCGGTCGCGCCGATGGCGAATGTGCAGGGAGGTCTCGGCGTGGCGGTGCTCGACGGCAAGGTCTATGCTGCGGGCGGCTTCGACAACGACGGCTTCCTCAGCTCGGTGGAGCGATACGACCCGGCGATGAACGCATGGGAGGCGGTGGCGCCGATGGCGGCGGCGCGCGAGGGTCACGTCATGGCGGTGCTCGACGGCAAGCTGTACGCTGTTGGCGGCTGCAACTACGACGGCGGCGGCGCCTTCAGCTCAGTCGAGCGGTACGACCCGAGAACGAACGCGTGGGAGGCGGTGGCGCCGATGGCGACGGCGCGGGTTAATCCCGCCGCGGCAGTGCAGGACGGCAAGCTGTACGCTGTGGGCGGCTTGAACGACGACGACGGCATCCTCAGCTCGGTGGAGCGGTACGATCCGGCTGCCAATGCGTGGGAGGCGGTGGCGCCGATGGCGACGGCACGATATGCTCTCGGCGTGGCGGTGCTCGACGGCAAGCTGTATGCTGCTGGCGGCGAGAAGGTGGAGGAGGACGAGGACGGGGACATGCCAGTCAACACGGTTGAACGATTCGACCCGGTTACGAATGGCTGGGAGGCGGTGGCGCCGATGGTGACGGCACGTTCGCTCCACCTGGCGGACGATGGTGACGGTGTCTGATGATGCGAGCCTCGTCGGGTTTCGCTTTCGGTTGTCTTCCTAGTTCCTTGTGGAAAAAACCCGCATCGACGCACATCTCTCGTTTGTGCGCAATTTAGGTAGAAGGGCAAGATCACCATCAACATATGTTCCAATACTTAGTAAGTGCAGAATATCAGTACCTATGCGCTTTGAACGGCCCAACGGTGCGGTGGGCCGTCGCGCTGCCTCCGAGCTCCGTCCCCTCTGCGCGCCCCGGGCGCGTGTGTCCGCCGCGGGGGAACGCCGTCCGGGACCCGTCATGCCCCCCATGCCTCCCCATGGCGCTTCGAGCCCCCTCCCACCCCGCCCGCCCCCGCCCGCCCCTCAGCCTCACGCCACCTCTGCGAGCTTGACGTTGCGCCCCTCCCTCCAGCTCCGCTCCGCCGCGCGCGCGACGGCGCCGAGCAGCGCGTGCCTAACCACTCAGCACACAAGCTAGCACCGGCTACGTATGCAGCGCACCTCCTCTCTTGGCCGAGCAGCGCGTGCCTCTCGACAAGCCGGTCCTCCTCCACGAGGAAGTGTCTACGAAGTGTCTACGAAGTGTCTAGGAAGCGTCTAGGAAGTGCCTCTCGACAAGCCGGTCCTCCTCGACGAGGGGGGGCTCGTTGCGCACCTGAGGCGTCGCGATCACCAGAGGCGGCTCGGGACCCCAACTTCACCAGTGCTCGGCCCAGGGGGGGGGGGGGGGGGTTGCGCGCCATGTTGAGGAACTCCGTCAGCTCGACCGTGTACGTGTGCCGGTACCGCTCCGGGAAGGACCACTCTATCACATATCGATATGGCGGTGAGTGGCGGTGAGTGGCGGCATGATGGCGATAGAAGCCATATATCGATCGCATGTTCCGTGAGCATGAACATGATCCATGCGCGGCACGATCGCGGCGCAGGCACTAGCCAACGGCTTCGAGGCGGTCGCCGACACGTCCACCCACATCGGCATGGTCGAGTTCGAGCAGATGTACGCCCTGCCCGAGCGCAACTTGACCGACCTCAACGGCATCGAGCAGTTGTGCGATTGTGTCGACGCGCGGGAGGCCGCAGGCGACAACGCAGAGGAGCTGCTGCGCGCGCTGCAGCTGGAGCGCGGGATTGAGCTGCACGAGGATGTGGTGGAGTTGGCGCTGCTGCGCCGCCAGCTTCGCATCCCGAAGGAAAAGCGGCGCGCAGCAATGGTGGCGGCTGGCATGATTCGCCAGCACGACGCGATGAACGGCGTGGCGGGGGTGGCGAGGCGCGGCATCCGGGCCGGAGCTCGCGAGGGCGCGGCGGGCGCTCAGACGAAGGTCCGGGAATTTCACCACCAGCGCTCGGCCTCACAGGGCAAGGAGCGGTACCAAAAGCTGCTCGACGAGGCGCCGGCCGAGGCGGCGAGCGTGACGAACAAGCTGTACCTGGAGCTGGCAGGCTACTCCGTTTACCAGGAGGCGATCGAGGATGCGGCCGCGTGCGCGTCGTGCGACCCCTCCAGGAAGCAACGTCCGTTTACTGGAGAGCGGCTCGCGTACGACATCGACAAGGTGCTCGACCGGCACGCGCTGTGCCCGGCGTCGAGCTCGGCCAAGATCGCGTGCGTCTTTGGCCAGGCCGAGATTCAGGCCATGATCCGCCGCCGCTCCTCCGACTTCGGCACCTACACGCAGAAGAAGGCGGCGCGGGAGGGGAACGCTGCCTGCCGCGCTTGCTACTCGCGCTGGGAGTGCGCCCACGACGCGTGGGCGGCGGCGCACGGCACCTGGGAGGCGGCACGCGACGCGGCGCAGGCGGCGCGGGGCGAGTTCTTGGATCCGGAGCCGGTCGAGCCGCGGCTGCTTCTCCTGTTTGGCAACGGGAGCATCGACTACCTCAGCGACGGCGCGTGCCCCCCCCTCCCGCCGCTCGCGCAAGCCACCTTGGCTAGGGACGCCCCTCCCCTCCGGCAGGCACGCCCCAGACGCACTCCTTCCTGATGGACGTTGGCGACAAGGCGGAGCTGCGCGCGGGAGCGGGCCGGTCCCTGCTTGGGGCGCTGGAGAGCTGCGATGTCGGGCGTGGCGTGGCGGAGTACTTGACGGTGATCGGCCGCGACCAATTGCCATTCAACAACGAGGTCCGCCCGCGCGCCAAGAGCTCTTCCGAGCGGTACGGCGCACAGCAGGGCAAGCCGAATGTGGTCGGCAAAATCCTCAATCGCATCACGAACAAAAATTACGGCGACAAGACCTGCAACAAGTCTACGCGAGTGAGGCTCGCAGCGCTGGCGCGGCGGCGGCGGGAGGAGGAGGGCGAGGAGGAGGGTGAGGAGGAGGGGGGCGGCGGCGAGGAGGCGGAGGCCGTGGAGGAGGGGGAGGGGGAGGGGGAGGGGGAGGAGGGATATGGGTGGGAGGAGCAGAAGGAGGAGGACGACGACGACGAGGCACCATGACTCGCTCTTCGCGGCGTAGACAGGTACGTGAACGATCACCCATCCTTCTCCCTCTCGTAGGACGACTGCGACGAGGACGAGTGGCTGCTATGCTACGGCTACTACATCTCGCTCTGCTACGACGGCCCTTGGTGCGGCCACGAGCTCGTCGTATCGAGGCTCAACGACACCGATCCCGCCGCCAAGCGGGCCGCTGCGAAGTGGCTCGAGATTCTCCGCAGTGGGCCGCTGCACAAGTACTCGTACTTCCGCGGTTCGCGGGAGTAGGGCCGAGGCAGCGCCTGCCAAGAGGGTGGCCGGTGCTTGCCGGCGTCCGCCGCGACACGTGGTGCACATTCGCACGTTGCAGCGCATGTACGTCCCTCTGTGCGTCGTCTCTCCTCTCCTCTCACGTGTGTGTGCGCGCCTCGCTCGCGCGCGAGAGAGGGAGAGCCTGGGGCGCTCGGGCCCCGCCTCCGGCGCGCTCTGAGCAAGCGTGTCGTTTTGGGGGAGGGAGGAGAGGACGGGGGGTGCCTGTACGCCTCGCGAACACGGGATTACGTACTTACAACTCATACCACTATCTCGCGGAGAGGGAAGGGAGGGGGGTGCGCCGCTCGACCGAGAGGCGTTTTTGCTCACCCCTGCACCGCGGCACACTTTGAATGCCGCGGGGCTCCTGCCCGTGCCCCCCAGGCGTGGAGATGCGAGGGTCGCCCCCCCCCCCTGCCCCACCACTTTGTGTGTGTGGAGACGTTTACCTTATCTTACCTTACCACTGTCTCTCTGGAGACTGGACACTCTCTGCACGCAGAGATATCTACATCGTGGTTGCCCTGTCTCTCTCCCTTGCAGCACGGTCGTAACGCCACACAAGGGACCGACACTCTGCGCGCCGCCGCTGATGCCGCGCGCACGCGCATTTGTGAGGTCACGCTGTCCGGTGCGGTCCGCCGAGTGGCTAATGCAGACTGCGCACCTTACGACTCTTGCCATATCGGGCATGATCCGTGATGCGTGAGGCAGGGAAACGCAGCGCTCACCGCTAGCGGCTCTGATTGTCCCGCTGCAACGACGAGCATACGGGGCAGATGGCGTTGCTCAGGTTCGCTGAGCATGTTCTTCTGCGCTCCTCGTCGCCGCCGCCGTCGCGAAGCAGCCGCGCCTCGAGCTTACGCAAGCACTTGGCGCAGACCACCTCGTGCCCGCAGAAGGGCAGCGCCTTCTGGCGCGGCCCGCGTATGCACCACGCACAGCCAGTCACGACAGGCAAGCAGGCGGGCAGGCCTGCCTCGAAGGCGGACCGGTCCGCTCCGCGCATCTCCCAAAGAGAAAAGAAAAAGAAACAGCCTGATAGTCGCTGAGCGGCTCCCGGTGTACCTGTGTTAGTGCTAGTGCGCGCCAGTCCCGTGCCCAGTGTCGTGCGAAAGAGGAAAACGAACTTGCAGAGCGTACGTCGATCGTCGTGTTCGTGTCTTTTGTTTCTTAGCTCCGAGTAGAGGGGGCGCTCCGCCGCTAGGGGAAACCCAAAGCGCAGACCAACCCTCTGAGACCTTGTTATACTTTACGGCCCTTTCCCTGTGAACGGCCGAACGCCCACCCCCTAGCCCACCCCCCGCCCAGGGCTAGGGCTCTCTCGCTTGGTCTTGCCCGCACATCCCGGTGTGCCGCCTAAGAAAAAGAATTTTGGTTTCCCCTTGCACGCACACACGGAACGATTGAGAGTCGTTGTACACGTCGATGTGCTCGGGATTGCCGAGCATGGAGCTGACCGCGGCAAAGAGCCCAACCTTGTCGTGGATTGTGATGAAGTGCTCGAGGAGAGGGCCAACGATAGGCACACCTTGGATTGGGGGGCAAGGGGGGGGGGGGGGGGTGAGGAGGTGCATCTGCGGCTGAGAGGCGAGTGCCAGCTCCCTCTTCTCTTTCCTCGAAACTACTGAGGGGGGGTCGCTTCGAGCAGCCGTAGTGCTCTCCACTGACAGCCCCCCCAGACCCTTGCACTTGGGCTCAACAGACAGCCAGATTTTGTGCTCACCAACGAAACGCCCGGCTTCGAGAAGGCCTTCAGCGGCTTCGCCGTCGCCCAATCTGGCGGAGGCAATGACGTCGTGAGCTTCTCGGTGAGCTCGGCGGGTGTCTGTGTCCAGCGAGGCAAATTTGGCGCACACAAAGGCGTTATCACCGTGGCGAGCGACGGGATGCGACTCATGAGAGGCCATTCAACGCTGCTCGACGTCGGCCTCGCAGTCACGTTCGAGGTGCGCGGGCAAGGGCACGACGAGTTGGCTGTCAGCCTTCGCCGCAAGGCCGGCTACACCGCCGGCCTGGACCTGGCATGAGTTCGCTGCATCGTCGTCGATCGGTTGCCGACACCAAAGTTGTGCAGCGCGCAGCCCGGGCACGCACTGCAGCCCGAGACGCTTGCACCGAAAGCACTCTCGCACAGAGCCGTCCAGCGCGAGCATGTCGCACTTGGTTCTGGACTGGCGGCAGCACGTGCAGAGGGCGTGTATTGGCATCATCGCAGCGCGCTTCGAGTGGAGACGACTCTTGCGGCGTGAAGATCGCTTTCGCGAAGATCTTGTCGGCACCTTGCGGACTGGGGCTGGTCCTTGGCGTTTGTGTATGGACGTACAAGGATGCGAAAAGAATTCTTTTTAAGAAGACAAGGTCTCCACCTCCTCCTCGAGGCCTCCGCCACATCGGCCGCCGCCTCGCCCATCACCTCCGCCAGGCGAGAGAGCGGCACGACCGCGTCCGTCACTACGCCGCGGCTCCCGCCTCTACCTTGGGCCGCTGCGTCTCCCACGGAAACTGCTTGATCCAGTCCATGCTGAAGTCGCCGTCGGGAGGCAGAGCATCTCCGTCGGTGCCACCATCCAGCGCCGGCGCCAGAAACTTGCCGACCGCCACCTTGTAGCCCTGCTCTGAGAGGCCGTCGGCGATGGCGCGGACGCGGCCGCCGTTCCACCCCCACACCTGCACGCCGCGGTCTCGAAGGCATTGGGGGAGGGAGCGGCGTGTGCGTCCGGGCGCGTCAGAGGCGTCCGGGCGGGCGCACGTCTGGGCAGATGAGGATGCCGTTTGTGCTCGATGCTGCCGTGTTTGCGTACAGCTCGACGGCGCCCAGGTCGACGACGCGGCCGGTGGCGGTGTGTGTGGCCGCGAGGTAGGGCAGAGAGCCCACGGGACAGCAAGCCGACGTCATAAACAACGAACACAGACACAGCGCGATAAAAATGTGGAAATGTCACTCTGTTTTTTACATATGCGCGAACACACCACTCACTCTCTCTCACGCCTAAAAAATCGCAAACGCGTCAGCGCCTCTCCTCTCTCGAGGTTCTCGAGGACTCGAGGTGGATATCCTTTCATTAAAATGAACTCGACCTAACCCGTCGGAGGTGGGGGGAAGGGAGTCCCCCGGGTCCTGCGTGAGTGAGTGAGCGCGAGAGTAACCCCAAGAGGGCTGAAGATGAGCGGTGCGCGCAGGGGTCGGCGTGAGGGCGATGAACGCGCCGCGCGGGGCGCCGCCTCACCGGCCCTCGGCCTCGCCAACGCCTCCAAAGTGGCGCAGAGTTTGTTTCATATTAACATCGAAGGCTAAGCTCATGTGTGAGAGAGATTTTTGTGTTTGTCTCATTTGTCTGTCGTCGTCGTCGTCGCGCGCCTTCCAACCGAGGCCCCTCCCCGAAAGGCAAGTATCAGCCACACGAAATCGAGACCCCTCCCCACCGCCCCGATCCCCCCACCCCCTTGCTCCCCTCCCCCCTCGGGAGGGCCGAACTGAGGCGCCCGTGGGGACCCCGCAATTCCTTCCCCCCTCGGAGGGGGCCGGACGAGGCGTACCCCGAGGGCCCCACTCTTTCCTTCGCATAGCGGCCACTCTTCGGATCGCTGGTCGAGCGACCCGGGGGATGCCCCGCGCGCCTGACCCAGGCGCGAAAACGAACCTGCCCGCGAGGCGTGGCACATCTTGCGCGTTGATATACCTGGACTTGCGTGTGTATATGCTGCTCGCGCTCTCAGCCGCGCTCGCCTCCTCGGCAGAAGCTCCTGTGCCGGACGTGCACATCCACACACCCCTCCTCCGGTCGAGCAAGCTCTCCGAGCGCGTCGGCGGCCCCGTCTACCTCAAGATGGACGCGCTGCAGCCCGGCGGGTCCTTCAAGGCGCGTGGCATCGGCCGGCTCTGCACGCACCTCGTGCGTGAGCGGGGAGTCACGCGCCTAGTCTCGTCCTCCTGCGCGAATGCGGGCATGGCTGTCGCAGTCGCTGGCCGGGCGCTCGGCGTGGCCACCACGATTGTCGCGTCGGACGTCGACCGCGGCTGCCGGCTGCTGGAGAGCTTCCGGAGGCTCGGCGCGGAGGTGCTACTGGAAGGGAAGGAGTGGAACGACGCCGACGCGCGCGCACGCGCACTCGGGGACGAGCCCGCATCCGCGTACGTGCCAATGTTTGACCACCCTCTCATCGTCGACGGCCACTCGAGCCTGGTGGAGGAGCTCTTCTCCGCCCGCAAGCCTAGAAGCGGAAGGCGTGTTCATGTCTCCCAACCAGCACTCGAGAGACACGTACTCCGCTGTATTCCGGTGTCTTCAGCTGTACTCACTGTCTTCCTATCCGTCGTACTCACGCGGTGCTCTCAATACGCTGCACAATGCCGTCTTCCCGCCCTCACGTCGGCGTACTCAGCATGTAGGACCGCAACGGCGAGCCGCCCGGCTGCATCGTCCTCTCGGTGGGCGGAGGAGGGCTGCTGAGCGGCGTCTGCGAAGGGCTCAAGAGAGTGGGCTGGGGGTCGGTGCCAGTGTATGCGTGCCAGTCGGAGCGCTGCAACCTGCTGGACCGGGCGATGGCCAGCGGGCGGACGCCGACGCCGACGCACATCTACTCCGCCGACGGGCACGACCTCGGCACGCGGGCAGTCGCGCAGGCGGCCCTCGACTGCAGCGCGGAGCTGGACGTGCGCTCGCTGCTCGTGAGCGACCGCGCGACTCTCGCCGCGGTGGGCGAGTTTCTCGACGACGAGCGAGTGATGGTCGAACCCCTGTGCGCCGTCGCCCTCGCGGCGCTCTACACTCGGCCGGAGCTCTTCCGGCAGCACGGCTCGGTCGTGGTGGTGGTGTGCGGCGGCAGCCTCTGCTCGCTCGACGACGTGGTGGCGTGGCGGCGGCGGGCGGAGCGCGGTTTGGCGGCGACGAGCGACGACGATGAGCCCGGTCATGGACATGGTGAGAGTTAGAGCTCGTGATTTTGCGGACGAAAAGGAGGGAAGAAATAGTAAATAGGAGGGAAGTTGACCCCTGCGTCCCCCGAGACCTAGCGCGGGTGGGTTGGAGGGGGGCTCGCTGCAGGGAAGGGCTGTGTAAGAAGCCGAGATCCCCGTAGTAAAGAAAGAAAACACACAACCCAAGGGAGGGATGGGAGGACGGCACGCCGCCACCACACAGGCCACAGGGATTTTAAGGAGAGGAGTGTGGTGCGCTAGCCGTCGCCCACCCTGGGGAGTCTGCCTCTTCGTATCTCTTTTCGCAGTCTCTCGCCGCTTCTCGCTGCAACCTTCGTGCCCAGTCCTGTGCCCACGCCGCGGCGATCCGAGGGACGGTCGCCTGCTTTTTACCTGGGTTTGTCGACGCAGGGAGAGGCGCCAGAGGCTCTCGGGTGGCTAATCTAAAATTCTCGTCTATCATTCTCACCAACAAGCACAGAGAGACTCCTCCTATCTTCAACCACCGCGGCTCGGGTTTTTTTAACGCTATTGGACTGGGCCCGCCTCGAGCTTGTGGCCTTTTTTTCTGTGTTCGCCTGCCTGTCCGGCTGCGACGCCTCCTGGTCGCGACCGAGGAGGCGCCCCCCCCAGCAGCAGCGCTCTGCTGCTGGGGGGTGCTGGCATCTCTGTACAGACAGCAGCTGTAAGTAGCATGCGTCGACATATTTGTGATGAGCATTTTTCCGGCGGCTTGCGCCGCCCAGTCGTCGGCGAGGTGCTCGACATTAAACGGCTTGAGGGCGAGCCGCATGGCTTGCACCACGTCGCTGCCCGTCATTGCGGCGACGCGTCGCGGCGGACCTGACAGTTTTGCCGGGCGACGGGCGCGCGCGCGTTTTCGAAAAAAGAAAAGGCAGGCTTGCTGACAGCTCAGTCGATCGATTTGCGACGAGCGAGCGATCCGAGGATCGAGCGGGTGGCCGATAGGCTAGGAAGATCAGCGCTGATCGAACAACGTCAGCGAGACGCCCGAGTGAGTGGCTCACTATACCCTATGACCTTGAGCTATGCGTGTGGTAGTACAAGATAGACTCAGATGGTCACAAGTCCTTAGTAAAACGCCAGCACTCGACAGCACGAAGGTGTATTGGGCTCGAATAGCGTGGTGAACACAACCGCCTCGAGCGTACCGCTCAAACACGAGC